AACCTCTATACAACGAAAGGAGACTGCGATCACACAAAAGGCCACACCATCTTGGTCTTCATACCTTCGACTATTCATTTATGCTTACATTCTGAAAGTTGACCCATTATCCAGTTGAGGCTGAAACAATATTCATGCAGTCCTCTTTATGTTGAGCAGACCTGTCGTTCAACTCGCCAAAGCTGGATAGATGAGTGCTTGCTTATAGTAAATCTGCGTCATAGCGACAATCGAAATCAGCATCTTGTGTACACAATGCGTGTCAGGAAGTCAAGCATACAGTTACCTTAGACCACTTACGCTTAATTGATATACTTTCGGTTTAAGAGAGTAGCAAGTAGCCCATAATAAAGGACAACTTAAGTCACTTTTTTTATATGTGAGTTCATATAAAGGCTCATTACCATGAGCAGGTATGCGTCCGGCATAACTTAATCTGAGAACAGGTTAGATAATGGGTCATTAAACCTTGCCGAGTGAGGACGATGTTATTAGTCCTTCTATCTTGTGGAAATATCACTGTTCAATGAGTACATTTAAGTATATACGAGCGTGCGAATACACACACAAGCATATATATGGACATAAAATTCAATTAAAATTAAGACAAAATGGAAATATAACCAACCCAATCATTCCCATTAAAATAGTTTGATTTAAACTTTTATAAAAGTCAAAGTAAGCGTCAGCCAAAACCAAAACCAATCAATAAAATTTGAATTAATCTTCAAAAAATCAAATATACCATAGATAATATTAGAAAATTTAAATATTAATTATACCAATGATCATGTATTAACAAAAAAACCTATACTAAGGGGGGAAAAACGACGTAACAAAATCCGAAAAACGTAAGCAAATTTTAAAAAATTAAATGATACACCACAGTACAAAATGTTGCGTCTACCCTCTACTAAAGAAAAAAGCAAATCACTATAATTATAATTCCAGTTAGCATACCAGGGCCAAATGCAAAAATAGCACTAGTTCAAATAAATCATGAATAGTGTGGGACACAAATCACACTAAAATTGCTCCTATATGAGCTAATCTTATTAAAGCCAATCAACGATTGCCATCCAACTCAAATAGAGAAGAAATAAAACATGATAGACAAAAGGCCAAAATATACATAGAATACAAAAACAGTGAAGTTCGATCTGAAAATAAAAAAGAAGTAACTAAATGAACACCTCGATATATAATTGGAATCAACTTATGCTTACCTTCATCATACACCTTTAATTAAAATGGAAACGGGTCCAAAAATTGTGAATCAAGAAACTCCCCGATGAACAATCTTTTTAGTTTACTTTAACTATGACGTTCAGGTTGAGGCGTCCCAGAAGCATTCTTCTTCGATATTAGGTAAAATGGTTCTCATTAGTTAGAATTGTAACTGGTGGTTTCTTACCCCTGCTCAAAAACATGCACACACACCCACAGGCGCTTAGGTATAATAGTATCTAGAA